GGGCCTGTTGGCCATGTCTTTCCCGTTCGTTAACCGCCGAGACGACCAGCGAACATGGGGCCGGGTGGGAGAAGAGAAAGTCGAACCCTTTGGACGGGGCGAAGTACTTCCGTTCTACGCCTTTTGCGGTTGGCGCGGAGGAGGCTGGCGTTTGCCATACGGTCTTATAGTTTGCCTGGACCGTTTTTATAAGCGGGAGCGCGATCCTGGAGGGACCCTCTGGGCTCAGAATGTCCACCATCGGATCCTCCTGCTCAACCGTCTCCTCTGCTTGTAGACCCAAATTAAGGGCCACCCGGCGGAGCAAGTCCTGGTGAGCCCGGTGGTCAATAGGGGGAGGGCCGGATACTGTTGTGCCCGCCACGGCCTCGTCCGGCGAGGAGGAGGAGGTCATGGCTTTCTGAGCTTCCTCGTCCTCCTGTATCTCCTCCTCGGTGGGGCGTCCCTCCGGGGTGCGCCCCCTGTCCCGAGTCAGGGACGGTGCCGAGCTCGGTGCCGAGTCCGCCCTCTCTGCATCCGGTGGCCTGGAGACCGTGGCCTCCGCACGGGAGGTAGGGCGGCACCGTGGGGAGCGGGACCGGTCTCCTGAGGGACCCGACCTCGAAGTCCTGGATGGAGGGCCTTGCTGATGATAGGCCCACGGTGTCCAGAATGGCCACTGCCCAGGATGGTTCCAATGTGGTTGCCAAGAGGCCTCGTGTTCTCTAGCGGCATGCCCTCTACGGCCATATCTGGAAAGGCCCGAGTCCTCTTCCGACGCTAGGGACGGTGACCTAGAGGGCCATGGCGGTGCCGTGGGGCGGTGCCGGTCCGGTGTCGGGGAGCGGTGCCGTCTGGACCGGGACCGTGAGTACCGGCGTGCCGATCTGGACCGGGAACGGTACCGTTGACCGCGGGACCGGGAGCGGCTGCGGGAGGGTGGTCTTGGAAGTCTCGCCATCGAAGCGTCCCGGCGCCTGCTCGAGCCGGGTTGCTGAGGCGGTGCCACGCTCGCATCGGGCCCTGACTGATTCGCGGCCCGTTGTGCGGCGGGAAGCCGGGAGTCCACCGAGGCGGAGCTCGACCGGGACCGGCGCCGTGAACGGTGCCGAGATGGCGACCGCGACGGGCGCATCATCGCCGGTTTGCCCTTGGATGGCAGCCGCGGCGGAATGTCTGCAGCGCGGAGTGTGCTTTCGGAGGACAATTCGATGAGGTCCTTTGCCGCCTCAAATGTGTCCGGGGTGGAGGGCTGCTCCAACAGTTCCTCCAGCCCATCCTCCGCACTCGACGCGCTCGTCCCGGGGCTCGACGGGCCCTTCGGCGCCGGAGCCACTGGTGCCGGGATCTGTACCGGGGCCGTTACGGCCTTGGCCGCACTTGCGGGCTTCGCCGGTGCCGCCTTCTTATGAGGGGAGCGTCCCCGGGTCTTAGGCTGGCCCTTTGCCTTGGCCGGCGACGAAGATCGGTGCCGGGCATGTTCCCGCCTTGGCGGTGCCGCGGGCTTAGTCTGTGCCGCCGGTGTCGGGTCGCGGACCGATGCCGGGGCGCTCCGCACCGAAGCGGACGGTGCCGCGGAAGAGGAGGGCTGTAATGCCGCCTCCATGAGGAGCTGTCTAAGGCGAAATTCCCTCTCTTTCTTGGTTCTGGGCTTGAAGGCCTTACAAATTTTACAGCGCTCCTTTTGGTGAGCTTCCCCGAGGCAACGGAGACACGACTCGTGCGGGTCGCTCACTGGCATAGGCCTGCGGCACGCGGCACACGCCTTAAAGCCTTGGGCGTGCGGCATGCCCCGCCGCCCAGGGCCGGTGCCGGGGTTGACCAAACCCCTATCACCAAGTGATTTTGGTCCTTAGAAGAACTAAACAACTACTTAACACTAAAACTCTTAACTGTAATTATGAACTGCTAACTACTGCTAATGGCTATGCTAAGGGACACTCTCAGGCGAGAGACAGAGTTGTTCCAACGTCGCCACGGGCGGTAAGAAGGAACTGAGGGAGGGTCGGGCCTGCAGGGATATATATACGCGAGGGCGGGGCGCCGCTCTGGCGGGAAGGGGACCCTGCGGGCCCGACGGGAGCCGCTGAGGGAAAAAAGTTCCGACGATTCGTGCACGCGGCGCGCGCACACCTAATGTGGAATGGACGTGAACAAGCACTCGAAGAAGAATCTCCATTTTCCAGATGGAGAACTGAGTCACAGGGCAGACTAAGTGTTTGTCCAAAGTCACACAGGAACTCTGTAGCCAAGCTGGGAACTGAACTCTGGTTTCATGAGTTCCAGTTCAGAGTCCCACCCATTAGAACACCCTTCCTATCCCACTGAATTCCACAGTACTGTGACTCAGCATATATGAAAAATCAGACCACTAAACGAACCTGAGAAAGGAAGCAAAAATTATCAAAAACCTGGGGAGACTGGCATTGAGTAAAGACTAAAAGAACTAACAATTTAGTGGGGGTGGGGATATCATAACAATCCACAAATACTTGAAGGGAGAGGGATTATTAGTGAAAAAAGTGGTATTACTAAGAATAACCAAGATTTTTTTTTTAAAGAAAGGGAGAATGTATGCTCAATATCTGGGATACTACAACTTGCTGAGTGCCTTCAACACAGAAGTTAATGGGCAGTTAAAAGCACTCAGCACTTTGTAGGATGGTATCTTAAATGACCCAATATTAGAATTCATTTCTTTCTCTGATTTCTAAGAATCTGTAACCATCTGAGTATTTTCCCTTAAGTATATCCAATCAGAACTTTTCTGCAGTATCTAACATGAGTGTAACTAAATTGAAAAAATTACAAAGGTTGAAACAAGTCAGAGACAAATTAAAATACCAGAGTATTAGTATACAGTAAAGACAATAACTCCTTTGATCTCAGGAATTGATTGTAGAAGTCCAGGGGACACTTTATGTCTAATGTTCTAAAAGGGACATCAGCAGTATGTTGCCCTATTATTCAGCAAATTAAGACTACTTACTGTCAGTCATTCAGGAACATCAATTACACTACTAGGTTGGCTGGGAAATACTGAAATTTAAATTACTGAGTGGGAAACAGTATGCCAATAAAAGCTCACAGTATGCCTATAAAAAGAAACATAATTTATGGTAGGGTTTTTTTTTTAATGCTGATTTAAGATTAGAAATTAAAATATCTGAAGTATTGCTCAGTTGCTCATATCCTTAGTATCTAGGAAATAAGAATATCTGTTGATTAAACCGGATTAAAAGAGGAATGTGTTTCCCCAACAGACTGGCTAATTCAAATTTATTTATTTATTTATTTTTATTTTGGTCTAAAATAAACTCCACACAAAGGGACAAGAATCCAAAGCTCTGGGTGCCCTTGACATACATTTAAAAACAGAATATTATAGAAATAGCAAAACAAAAATTATTTCCAGCTAATCCATATGCTATAATGAGCACCACTTATTTTTTTAAAAATAGAGATGATGACATCCTGGACAGGTATTTCTTTTTTAGACTAGTTAAATGGGAAGAAGAGCAAAGCGCTTCCAGAGGTGATCAAATAAGATAAATTTTGACTTAAGGTGCCATCTTGCTACCACAAAAAGCCTTTTAAGAGAATAACACGGCTGAGGTTAAACATAACAAATAGGAGAGAACGGAACAAACAAACGGTTTTAAGATGAATTTATTAATGTGATGAATTATTCTATGGTGTGTATGTGTGGGAGGCAAGTGAGGGTGACATGACAGTCAAACAAATCTGAAGATCTTCGCACTAAAAGGGTAAGGTGCTGAGAGATGCCTGCAAGGCACTGAGAATCCTCAGCTCCCATCCCAAGAAGTCCTTGGTATCATTCAGGATCAAATGCTAGGTGAGTTTTGGATGACCAATTAAGGGTAGCACTCAATACCTGCTGGTTTTAGAAGGAAAGCTGGTAATGCTAGCATGTGCCCTGATTCAGGAAAACTCTTAAGCACATATTTTTCTTGAAGTATGTGCTTAAATCCCATTGACTTCAATGGAAGTTAAGCACCTGCTTATATGCTGGCATGAATAGGAATGCTTTCTTGAACTGAAGCCTGAAAGATAAATCTCCAAAACATTATTTACTTTGTACTGATTCAATCTAAGAATTAAAATAAAAATAAACATAAATTACTTGTTCATCTGATAAGTGAGGGCTTTTTAGTTGTTGACACAGAATTTTGTGTTCACATATTTAAGAAATATGGTGTTATGGCATTTGGATAAGAAAAATGTTCACATATTTAAGAAATATGGTGTTATGACATTTGGATAGCTCGAAAGATTCATAGTAGGCTATACAGTGCTCTCTCTATATTCTTAGATTGCTAGTTCCAATCCAGCTCAAGTAACTAGTGGCTACAAATTGAGAAATGCTCATTGTCCTATGTGGAATGAGTCTGGTTCACTTACCAATGGACAGCTGTCTACATCACAAAAACCACCACAACTCGCACTAGTTGTCACACTAGATAGTAGTCATAACTGAGAATGAGTCTGGAGATTGAGCTTGTCGTTTACCCCAACAGATGGGATTTCCAGGCTAGGTTAAGGTATACTGGCAGGTCATGATTGGGGGAAGTTTGCACTGCTACTGCTTCTTTGCTGTACTTGTTTTGAGGATAGATGACTTTAAGTCTCCGATTCTGCCAATCTGGCATATTTCATAAATACTAAATGGTGATCAGATATTATGATGATTGGGGCCACATAAATTTCTAAATAGATCAGATAAATCACATACACACAATGTACCTCTGTGAAATGTCTCTAGTCTAATTCCCCCTGACATTCAGGCTAGAAAAAAAGCACAGGCATTCAGTATAGGGAGTAAAGGTCAATTTCTGTATAAACACATTATATGCATATGCTCTTTGGATACCAGTGAATACTATTCTCTCTTGTACCAATACTTTTTATGCTATACACATACAATTCAAATTCAGGTTAAATGCTATCTTTCCTTAAATGGATTATTTCATTTTTTAAAAGTGATCAGAATTAAATATTACCTTCAATTTACTTATTTCTTTTAAAGCTTCATTTCTTTCTTTTTTAAGTCTTTCCACATCATCCATTTCCAAAGAATCACAGGATACAAGCTGTATGTATTAAAATATGAAAAAGGGGAAAATTAATAGAAACTAATATTTGGTTAAATGCATCTATCACAATGCTTGATCTCTTTAACAACAGAGTCTTGTTAAAAGAAAATCACAGGTAGAATTGATAAAGAACTTTTTTTAGCTCTTAAAAATTAATGAAAATGCAATTTGTTTCTCCAAAATATTGTAGGTTTTCAGCAAACAAATATGAAAACTTTCAGTTTGAAAAAAAAAAAAAAAAATGTTGGTTTAAACTAATTTTTAACTGACATTTTCTGACCAGCTCTAGTCACAGGTTTTCCAGCAATGAAAAAAGAACATGTTTTGCTAAAATGGATTAACAAAAATTATCCACAAAAATTTCCGAGAAAACAGTGCCAATAAATCTGACTACCTACCCCCTTCTATTTGATCTCAGATAAGGAATAAATTACATTCAGTATTTCTAGCCCATCGGGGTTCTATGTAGGCCTTCATTGTTAAAAATTACCTTTAAAATAAAGTGATTTCCGAGTGCAATAGAGGTCCAAATCACTGTGCCACATAATTGTTTATTACTCACACTGCTGGAAGCAATCAGCAGTCCTGTCAATAAAATACTGTTATCCACTCATCCCAATTCACAACATATTTATGTGAATTGCTTCCTGCAAACTAGGTTGCTTTAACAAGGCTTCTTAGGAACTAGGTTACTTTAAAGAAAACCATGATATGAAACTCTTTCAAAAATTTGTCCAAGAATTGGAACAGTTTTAAGTAAATTAACCTTTGTTAACTTATTCTTCACAATAGATAAATACTACTGAGCTCCAGCAGATACTTTACCTGTGAATCTAATAAATTGGCAATTTCACTGGCACCAAATGTTATAGGTCTTTGGCCACCACCTGCTTCATCCAACTGCAAACAGAACAGATTTCTTGCAACCTGAACAAAATCTAAAACAGAGTTTAGTTACTGTAGTCTGTGGCACCAATTTTATAGGAGTCAGTTTGTTTTTCCCTAGTTTAAAACTGTTTGCAACTACTATTAAAAATGAATGCAATGCTTGTGTAAGGTGCTGGTCTGACAGCCTAAATTATGGAGTAGCAGTAGCCTCTCCATATTCACTGTTGAGCTCCCATTTAAGTATGAATTTTCAACTCCTCCATTAACTTCCTGAAAGATGAAACAATCTACCTGCAATTTTGACTGCAGCTTCTTATCTCAGCACAGAGTTCTTTTGAGGAAGTTTGTAAAAAAAATCAGAAAATGGAGTTTTAAAAACATATGCTGAGGTCTTGGTATGTGACTGAACTGCAATTGGGAAAGTTTTGTTGGGGAGGGAGAAAAAGGTGATGTAAACCACACCTCTGCTGTTCCCAATTCTAGAGATGGTTTATGCTTGGAAGGTCCCTGGCGTAAATTAGAGCAGCCTATACTCATACTATACCAGCAAAGGATCGCCTCTGGAGTAGACTGATCCTTTAGGGGCCAGATATACTGACTCTACAGGAAAAGAGGAAATCTTTGTACCACTCTGAGTTTTACCTTTTTCTATGTAAGCTCCCAAACCCCTGATGGGGTACTGCACATATTGTGTTGCATGTTTTTTGGCCAGCTGCCTACCTAGGATGGAGCTGAAACACAAAAGTCACTGCAGTATCAATGACCTTTGTCTGAGCTACCTGTTTAGCCAGAATGGAAAACAGAGTTCACTGCTGCAATGGCTACTGGAGGCTAGAGGGATGTAGCTCAGCTCTGTCCAAACCATACCAACAACTGAGATGACACCATATAAAACTTCCAGAGATTTAGGAACATACAGGAAGTCAAAGAAAAGTTGGTCTGTCAAACTCAGAACTTGTACGGTTTTTGGATGGCTAAGGGGGGGGGGGGGAACGGGACTTTCACAATAGAGAAAAATTCAGCACAAAAACATCTTTTTTGTTGTTTTCACCAATATAGTAAAAAACATGAATTTTCACCATCACAAATATCAAGCCTCTCACAGTGAGTGACTGATACTATCAATTTGATGAGCTCACCCGCCTCTGCTAGAATTAGCTTTGGTCAGAAGCTACATCATGTTGAATGGGGCAGGGGAAGGTCTCCATGTGGAGTCTCTCATTGTAGCCTTCAGCCCTACTGCTCTCAGTTCTCATGAGCTAAACAAAATAGGCAGGGTAAATGCATGGACAACTTCTGAGCTATCTAGTTGCTGGTAGCAAGTGACATTAATTATAAGTGACACCACTCTCTCCAAATCTTAACTGGAAAATCTTAACCAGGATGAGGAAGCCAGGAACTTGCTACTATTTTCTCGACTTGTGTATTAGTTTCGGTCCCATGGATTGGACAAATATTAAATAAATAAGATACTAGAAATTCTACAATTCAGTTGCTGAGATCAAGAATTAGAAAGAAACTAATTTTGTTTTAGGTTATTCAAGAGATCATTTTATAGAACAGCTGGATGACATAGAATGGAGACCTGACACACAATTCCTTTGATTTATTATGCAATTTAAAAATAAAGAAATGTATACCTATATTTTTATTTATTGATTTGAATTTAAGAACTTTAATTTTTAAGAAATTTAGAGAAGAAAAATGGTTAACTTCTAAGGTTTGCGATGCCTAAATTAGTAGCAGCTAAAATGACACTGCATGCTTCAATCTCATGACTATTTCTTAGGAAACTATTATACAAGAAATATTGTTTAGAATTAAGTAGTTTGCGAAAATGAATTTGCTATAAAATAGATACTTTGTGCTTTTATTTTTGAAAGAAAGCAGTGATTTCTTAAATACGAAAAACATTTTCATTTAAAAAAAACCCTCAGACTTAATAATAATACCCTATTTTCAAGGCAAAGTTGAAAATTCATTAGTATAAGTGAGAGCACAGTGCACTTAAGGGCTAGTGAGCTAAAACTGATCTTCATAAAGGAGAAATCTGACTTCCATTACAGATGGCTAGTTCCAGAATTGCAAGTTCATTGTTAAATAGTAAAATCACAATCTCGCCTCATCACGGAGAATTGTTTTTATGATAGTAATAACTCACATTGATGGGAAGGTTATTATAACTGAAAATATATAAGCTGATATTATAAGCTCTCTGCTTCTATGTTACATTATTTTCCAGGGCACTCTACAAATGGTTACCTCCAAAAGACACTGTTCCTTTAGAATCTTTCTGTAGTTGGTGCCTTAGGACTCGCTGCTGTTCGTCTGTGGGCTGAATCCCAAGATAATTTAGTGCCTAGAAGACAAAAAGTTGTTTTTTTTTTAAAATGGGGATTAGAGATCTCTGCCTCAAATGGGGAAAAAAGCCTTTTCATTATAGCTCTCCTTCACTAACAAGTTGTGTCTTGTGTGGTCACTATTTCTTAAACCTCCTCAAAGACAGATAAATAAGAAAAATGACAGAATGGGCTCTGGTGACTCACCGGGGTAGCTATCTTTATTAATATGTACCACTTGTGGCTCAGTACAATTTTTCCATGATCATCATATTTTCCTCAGAAAACATTAAGGTTAGGACTATCACCACGTTTATATTATTGTCATCACCATATTATATGAGTGTCGATTTACAAAACTATCAGAAGCTACCTGAGGCTGAAGAAACTTTGACTATACTAGGCCAATGAAGGAAAACGGGCATCAGTTGCCACACTTATGCCCATGGTTCCACACAATATCCCTATTTTGACTCACTCGGACCTTCAGCACAAAGAATTATTTCATATCAAGTTTCAGCATTTGCTTTCACTCACAGATTTTGTATTTATTTAATTTTTTGTCAAGGTAAATTAAAATTGGTGCTAGTATTTTTGAGTCACAGGGAATTATTAGTTTGTGTACCTCAAATAGGTTTTATAAGACTGAGTTTAAAAAAAGAAGTAAATAACCCAGCACACATTACACAGCATACAAGATAATGCTGATATATATAACTGGTAATGGTTTCTTTATAGTCCTAATGGAAGTAGGGAGGACTAAACATAATGGAGTGGTAGAGTACACCTGAAAATTGCATATAAATATAATAATTTGCAAAACAAACCATTCAATGGCATGTAAACAACCTACAAATGCTGTATCAAAGACAAATTATGCAATAAAGAGCCAAATATTAATGTAAATTAAGTTATATGCAGAAGTAGTTAACTGAAGCAAAAAGACATACTGGTTTCAAACAGAAAATGAGTGACTATTTTTTCAAGATAGAAATATAATCAAAGTTAAATCCTTTAGATTGTACTGAAGCTTGGACTTCTAAATTAATGAATGATAAAAAAAATCTCATATTCTAAAGACATTTCTTCAAAATTTTTGAATATTGCACACAAAGATGTTTATTGTCATAAATCATCATTAAATGGACAGCCCATTGCTCATACCTGTTTTCCTTTGTTATTAAAATGGCTGAGATAAAGTAAATACCATGGAAATAGTTTCTGGATAGTAGCACAAGACAATAATTTATGACAAAGGCAAAATGCTCAAGAAAAAAACCTGCTGGTTAAAGCCTGGCCCAACAAAGCACACAAGAACATGCGTACTTTAAACATGTGAGCAATCCTACTGCATATAAAGGGACTTTGTGTGCTTAAAGTCAAATACGCACATAAGTGCTCTGGCTGGACTGAGGAGGACCAAAGTGGAACTTTCAAATGACAGCATGCCCGCCGTTTTTCTCAGACCACCTGCCTTGGGACTGTCTCAGATTTTCCTCTCTCAGGGCAGCTCCGTTTTTAAATGCCCCCACCTACTCTGTGTGTGCATGGGTTCAATTTCTATATTGCTTGATAATTTCTTTGTTTCAGAACCCATGTATGAAGTCGTCCTTTTGCCTCAGACTGTTTGACAGCTGCTTCCTTGTTTGGTAGGTAGACCCATTCTGTCTCAATGGCTTGTAATCCCTTGTCTGATGACTGTCTCCCCCTATAGGTGAGAGTGTTGAAACCATCTGAAACTCTTCTAGTAGTGGAAGTCTATCACACCATTTTAGCATGCCATCTAATTTGGGGCATATAATCAGATTTTGGGTTACAGGCCAATAATTATTACTGAGCACCTCCAGATTCATCACATGTTCATTTCTCCAGAATATTTTCAGATATGGAGGGATAAGGTAGAAGATGGATTAGGCATCTTTAAATGGGAGAGAGACTAAAACAGGGAGAGAGGTTGGTTGGAATGAGGAAGCCTCATGCACTTCATCCTTATAATCTGTTATCTCTCAACTTGATGCATACATTACAAGCTGTCAACTGGCCATCAATTTATATGGGCAACATGCAAGATGGCTCTCCACTTCAAAGGCCAAGGTACCAGATGTCTAGGCAGGTGCTTAACTTTAAGCATATCAATAGGACCTACTTATGCGCTTAATATTGACCTATCAACTTCAATTCTGCAGTGGTAGACACATGGACATGAGGACCCAAGAGATTTTCCCCCCTCATCTTTACCATGTATTATTAGCTAGATGATTTTAATGGTCTCCTGGCTGATCACCTGAAGACAGTTTTCACTGTATAGCTACATTTCCTCCAACTCACAATTAGATCCTCTTGCTCCAATGACCTGAGTATTATTTAAGGTAAAGTCATGCTAACAGCAGACTCCTCTACTGCAGTCGCTCATGGAATGTTGAAAGAGATCAACTGAACTTATAATGCAGTCTAGCATTCTCAAATGAACTCCAAACCATAATTAGATCTTTTTGTTACTTTGAACACTGTTCCTTATCTTTTACCCCCTTATTGACACTTGTTTTTTATGATCAAAACAAGAAACAAATAAAAATGTTCGTAAAAATATGCCCATTTGTATTTCCTTCTGAAATATACTATGTCATGCAGGAAAGATAAATAAAAATGATAGATCAAACTATTGCATGCTGACAGTGCCAGGGAAAATGAAAGAATCAATTTAAATATGTACTGCATGTTTCAGCAAAAATGTATGTAACTGATCTGCCCTTCTACAGTACTTCTGTGCATCTTATTTCCTTCTGCATCTCTCTCTCATCTGTTTTTTACTTTTCCCACATGAATCTTCTCCAGGATGTTACTTCTTTGTAGGCGAAATTTCTTTGGCTTCTTTCATCTTCTTTTATTCATCATATCTCCATGTACCCTTGTGGGTATCTCAATATTTCTCTCCTTAAATTTTAGTTCCCTGCCTTTTTAAATAATAATAATAATAAAAAGACTTATGTATGTGGCTTTGTTTGCATTTATTTTTTTCTATTTATGAGCCTTTGGCACTTTGTTCTTTCCTCTGTACCTAGCTTTTATTTCACGTTGTTTATATTCTTAATGTTTTGGCTACAATTTTGTGCCAGAGACTCCGTAAAGTTCACTAGGGACTTTGCTATTGCTATCAATTTTATGTGGGAGGCACTCAGAAACTACAGGGATGGGTAGCAGTATAAAACCCTAAGGAAGGAAGGATGGATAGAAATGAGTGAAATTCCTTTTTTCAATATCCTCTTTCAAAACGATGTTGTATGCACTTAAGATGCTCAGCAAATAATGCAGTTTAAAATTAAATCAGTTAAAAATTAAATGGGTTGACCCAACCAGCCATTTAACAATTTGCCCAATAAGTAAAGTCAGATATGGATACAGAGCCTGAAAGAGCTATACATTTGGGAAGTAATCAGTTCTTTTTTACCTATTTATGCAGTAGTCAAGCTAGACATTTTCTTTAGACATTTTACATTCACTATTCTCCGACAACTGATTATGGAAAAAATAGAAAACAATATTAAGCGCTATTTACCATCTCCAGTTTCTCTGCTTTGAGACGAACAGTGGGGTTTAGAGAAATCTTCCTTTCTTGTGGTCCATAATCTTCAGTCCAGTTGGAAGCAACAGCTAAGAGACAACAGATTGTACGTTAATTGGAATTTTAATTGGAACTTTTCCCTCTGAAGAATGTATTCTGAAGTCCTGCTGTTCAAAATAATTCCAGCTAATCACCTGATTGCAGGAATGAACTCTAATGTTTATTATGATGTTTTTCTTAAATGCTAAAAGGTACTGTGATGTTGTGCAGTCTATATGGTTTTATAAAAACGTGATAATAAGTGAATATAACGTGACTGGGATATGCTTCATGCAAAAGGTCTCTTGTAAGGTATCATTACAAAGCTTATAATCTACTAAGTATGATCATCCGATTTGTATAAATGTACCACTCTTGTATCTAAAACTAGAAATATAAAATATAACTCTGAGGGCCTATTGTAATTATGTAAAGTGTGGGCCATTAATGATGGTTTGGAATCTTGATGACTCCCATTAACAAGGACCATTATCCGCAGATGGCTGTGTTTACCTGTGAGTCTTCCTGTATGTGTGTGTGCTGGCAAGTGGGCAATGAAGTCTTGCAGTGACATGTGATCATGTCACCTGAACTGGAATCCATCTTTAACCTGGTGCTTTTCCAGTGAGGGGGGGTGGAAACCCAGAGGGACAAAGGGTTCCTGCCTTATGCAAAAGATATATAAAGGGTGGAACAGAACAAAGGGAGAGGAGGAGCCATCATGAAGAATCCCCTAGCTATCACCTGAGCTGCAACAAGAGCTGTACCAGGGGAAAGAATTGTGCCCAGGCCTGGAAGGTGTCCAGTCTGAGGAAAAGCTTACTGAAGCATCTCTGAGGGTGAAATTATCTGTATTCAGTTTGATTAGACATAGATTTGCGCATTTTATTTTATTTTGCTTGGTGACTTACTTTGTTCTGTCTGTTACTACTTGGAACCACTTAAATCCTACTATCTCTATTTAATAAAATCACTTTTTTCCTTATTAATTAACTCAGAGTATGTATTAATACCTGGGGGAGCAAACAACTGTGCATATCTCTCTATCAGTGTTATAGAGGGCGAATAATTTATGAGTTTGCCCTGCATAAGTTTTATACAGGGTAAAACCGATTTATTTGGGTTTAGACCCCATTGGGAGCTGGGCATCTGAGTGCTAAAGACAAGCACACTTCTGTGAGCTGTTTTCAGGTAAACTTGCAGCTCTGGGACAAGTGATTCAGACCCTGGGTCTGTGTTGGAGCAGACGGGAGTGGCTGGCTCAGCAAGACAGGTGCTGGAGCCCTGAGCTGGCAAGGAAACAGAAGCAGGGGTAGTCTTTGCACATCGGGTGGCAGCTCCCAAGGGGGTTTCTGTGATCCAACCCATCACAGGTACATTACTAAAACATTCATTAAATACCCAAAAGGGGAAATATAGACCCTGTTTAACTACTGTTAAACCATTTTATAATTTTCATCATAATGGGAGGGAAGATTAACAAAAGTATGTAGCGTGAGGTCATGTGGGAATCGAAAACATGGCTGACACTACCTTCTTTCATGGAATACATACAGAGTGCTTTTGGAAACAGGTTGGGAAAAACATTTATTAATTCAGAGATGTCACTCATTTGTTAGCTTTTCTGCAACTGTCAATTCCAGGTGTTTAACATAAGGAACTGGTCGGTTCTATATATTCTCTCAGTAAATAGCAGGAGGCACTGTGTCAAAAGGAGGGATTATCTCTTGCCACTGAGGGGCAGAGCTGAATTAGGGATCTTGCCTGGAGTGAATCCCTTCTGGCTTCTCCTCTTGCCTAGTGGCAATGGGAAACTCCCCTTCTCTGGGGCCTGTCCACCCACTGTGCCCCTCCTCCCCTGCCCCTCCTTACCGATAAGAGTGTAACAATTTCCATAATTTAAACAATGCCTTAATACATTAGGATTCGGCTGCAGTTGTTTATTTTCCCTTATGTGCAAATTATAAATTCTGGGGAAAAGTGAGTCCAAAATTATAAGCAGCCAACACAAAAGATTTCACACCTACAGATTTCATTTGCAGGGAAAACAATACAGGAAAAATCAACTATAGCTTTGCCAGAGTGCTCTGGCTTTCTCAGTCTGTTGGAGAAACATCTCAGTACACCAGGAAAATAGCAGGAGGCTCTTCAGGGCCTTTGACTGCTGGCTATATGCACCGCAGCAAATTTGTAGCTTCACTTAGATTTTAGATGCACTAACGTTTTATTTAAAATAGAACAAACAATAAATCCACTTGCTGAGTTTTTGCAGAGGGCTAAGTACAAAGAGGGACATGCTATGGACAGGCTCATCAATGTGAAGTTCTTAAATTCCCTAATTTGGAAAGGAATTCAAAACACTTCTTATTAAAAGGCTGAAATTCTGAGAAACAATCACATATTAACTAGTGTTCTTAATTAGTTCTTCGTCCTATTTTATTATTTCATCAAGATGGAGACTGAGATGGGCTCAAACCAAAATCTGCATCTGAAAACCTCAGGACTCTGCAGCTTGGGACCATCTCCAAAACACAGAATAGAAACAAAACAAAAAAACAAAACAAAACTGGATTTTGTAATTCATAAAATATCTGTTTCCAAGCTCAAACTAATTTATATTCTCCATATATGCTCAACAAAACATCTTTTTGGAAACCTGTAACACTAATACTGTTGGCATGCTATATTAAATTCTAAAGACAGCAGGCTACATCATAAGCTAGAGTAAATCGGAATAGATCCCCTGAAGTCAGTGTGTGCATACTAAGCTCACAAAACTATTGGGTCATTGGCTTTATGCATGAATTTTTTCAAGCACGTCTCAAAGTTACGCTGATTTTTCTTAATCACAGCAATTTTTGATCCAAGAGCTTGGATCTTTGTCTCACATTAGCGTTGAAGAAGAGGTGTGTGACAGAAGTAGCAGTTTCAGTCAAGGACATGTTGTCAAATGAGAATGGAACGAAGGAAGCCCAGAGATAGCATACGGGATAGTATAGTATAGATTGTACAGCAACTGGTAGAGCCACCTTGTTTATGTTGTAATACACTGTAGCCTTCTTAGTCCCTTTTAAAATATCATTGGGAATCGGTTCCCATGGGGACTGTCCTTGGCAAATGAATTTTTTTGGTGGAGACGCAGGGACAAATGTCCAAACTGAGGTCTAGATTCGCAGCTGGTATAAACTGATGTAGTGTCACTGACTTCATCTGATTTAATCCAATTAATTCAATTCTATTTGTGGATTGAAGCCAATGAAGTTTCACCAGCTGAGAATCTGGCCCTCACTAAACTGCACGTTAGAGAGCCACAAAGCGGGTGAGGTAATATCTTTTACTGAACCAACTTCTGTTGGTGAGAGGACAAGCTTTCAAGCTTCCACAGGGCTGTTCTTCAGTGAAGAAGTTCTTTGTAAACTCAAAAACGTGTCTTTCTCACCAACAGAAGTTGATCCAATAAAAGAGTATCTCATCCACCTTGCCTCTCTAATATCCTGGGACCAACATGGCTACAACTAAACTGCATGTGTCAATCCTGAAGAATAGGCACTTAGACCCATAATTACTCATTATGCTCACTAAGCCAACCCCTTGGGATGGCTGAATTTTTTCCCCATAGTATATGAATAGGGTAGGGGAAGGATGACTTTACCACATATGTCCAAAATCTTTAACTGTGATCAAAATAGATATAGGGCCCCACTGTTTTGAGCAGGGAGGGAAGGGGATATTTTCATCCCTATTAAGCCCCCAAACACTGTATTTTGTCTCTTGCATAGATCTCTCATTTAAAAATACATTGAGAAGTCTGGATCCCAAAAAGATCCCAAAAAGATGTGGCTCAGCTCACATGTACCCCCTCCTTTTAACTAAAAAAGAAGCCCTAAACGGTAGGTCAAAGGAGCCTTTGTCTTGTAATGCTTCTGATCTAATCTAGTCATGGTAGTTTTCATGGGCAATATGATCAAGAGGTCTGATTATTTAACTCAAGCTGCATGCAATACTGTGACCTCTCCAGTTCCAAAGGTTGGTATTCAGCCAGTTAACCCCTTAGGGAATCTCTCTACTTATGCAAAGTTGGTGAAGATCCCAATCAGACTGCTTCATTTGGAATTAGGGTATCTACTATGGGTCACGTTAATCTCTAGCGCAATTTAGGTAATGTCAGTGGAGTGACATTACGGTCCTCTGTGTTGGTCCTCCCTCTCTTGACAAATTAGACAGGAGTTCTTGGTCATGTGGACTGATCAATTAGAGAGGCAGATGTAATGAACACACTGCCCCCATTTGTACCAACTGAGTGGTAAGAGGGCTCCAGGTTTACTGCATAGCAGTACAGAGCACAACCATTAGTGTAGCCATACTTGACACCAATGTAAGTGTGTATGTCATGCCTGTGCATTTTCATTGTTCATAAATACTATACAAATAATCTCACTGAGGGATTTATCACTGTCAAGTCAGATCTAGTTGTTGTGAAAGATCAGATCTCTGATTATTTTTCCTTCAGCACCTCCAAAATATATATCTAGAGATGTGATTATCACATATAAGCCACTTTAACAATTATGTTCCTAAAATAAAAAAAAACTGCCCTCCTTAAAAAAAAAAAATACACACAATATATTTCTACAGCATTTTATCAAACTGAGAAAGCACTGTTTCTATGACAACCTAGTCTTGATTTATATGTGAGTCTTCATTATCTGGTTTCAACTGAATCTATTGATTACTATTGCTGTACTGAAACGTTATGATCATTTGTCTTTGTTTAGTTTCAACTATTTGTCCAAGAAACTGTCCAACGTAAATTATATTTGACAGGGATTGTTGAACAATCCATTCATCTTAGCTTTTTATTCACTGCTAGAAAAATGGCCCATACACCCTTCCTTAAAGCCTAGTAAATCACATTGTGTACTACTTTCTGTGGAAGAGTAATTGCAAAAAATCAGGGGAAAAAAATTAAATAAGCCTTTACCAGTAGAAGACACATCAGCAGGGCTGCTGTCTGCAGAAGTAATTGGAGATTGTTCTCTTTTCTTGAATCCCGTTTTCATCTATGAAAGAAAATCACAAGTCATGAAATGACATTTGCTAAAGTAGGTCAAAGACCAGACTAGAACCATATGTTAACCTTTAAAAAAATGGGTGGCTGGGTAGATTAAAACAATACTGGAAGAATACTGAAGCCAAAAACCAATGTTACATTTAAACTCTTACAGGCACAATAAAAAGCAATGACATTCAGAATGTAAAGGCTACTGTGGTATACCCACTGTGCCTAAGCACTACAGAGTACTTTTTATATGGTACTATTTAAAAAGTAATTGAAGCCAATGTAAACTTGCTTTGTCTGAGGTATAGCCCACATTGATGATTTTACGGCTTTTAAAGAGTTGTTTTTCAATTCAGAAAGCATATGTGATGTTTATTACATAGATATTTTAATAAAAAGCCCATAAATTAGACATTTTATTAGAAAACTTATTATGGATCATTACTGATGAGGTTTGTACTAAAAGTGTCAAACCTAGTGCTGAAACAGAAGAGGGCCACTTTGCCACATATTTAATAGGGTGCAGTATACTGTAAATCATTTAACATATTAGAAAAACTTCTATAGCAGATAAACACTTGCTCTGGTTGTTTTACAGGGCTTGTTTTCCCCTCATCTTGTTTTCTGCACCTGAATTTTAGTGCTGGTGAAAGCTGCAAAAGTGACTGTCTTTCATGGTGTATCCAATTTTTGCCTCTTTGCCAAGACTATTGGCAGATGGGGCATTAGTTCAAAATGGAACAGGGAAATGGACTGATACCAAAGTAATTAGGTATAGCCTCCTGAACAACTATCAAATAACAGTGAGTCATTAGGGACCACAGCTGAACTTGACCTGGTAAGCTATAGTTGAAAGGCTCTGTCCCTCTGGCAGAGCCGTAAGTGTATACAAAATTAGCATTACACAATAGCAATATAAAAAACATGGTAATATTTTCTAGTCTCTGAGGTTCATTATCTGCAGAATAACCATCACAATGAACACCAAAAAAGAGTAGCTGCACCCTACACAGGATGTTTCTGAAAAGGAATACAAAGGCATCTGTGACGTTGTGCAGTCTATATGGTTTTATAAAAATATAAGTGAATGTAATATAATTGGGATATGCTTCATGCAAAAGGTCTCTTGTAAGGTATCATTACAAAGCTCATAATCTACTGAGTGTGATCATCCTATTTGTAGAAATGTACCACTCTTGTATCTAAAACTAGAAATATAAAACTTAACTCTGAGGGCCTATTGTAATTATGTAAAGTGTGGGCCATTAATGATGGTTTGGAATCTTGATGACTCCCATTAACAAGGACCATTGTCTGCAGATGACTGTGTTTACCTGTGAGTCTTCCTGTATATATGTGTGCTGGCAAGTCAGTAATGAAGTCTTGCAGTGACATGTGATCATGTCACCTGAACTGGAATCCATCTTTAACCTGGTGCTTTTCCAGTGAGGGGGGGTGAAAACCCAGAGGGACAAAGAGTTCCCGCCTTATGCAAAAGATATATAAAGGGGTGGAAGAGAACAGAGAGGGAGAGGAGCCATCATGGAGAATCCCTTAGATAACACCTAAGCTGGAACAAGAGCTGTACCAGGGGAAAGAATTGTGCCCAGGCCTGGAAGGTGTCCAGTCTGAGAAAAACTTACTGAAGCATCTCTGAGGGTGAGATTATCTGTATTTAGTTTGATTAGGCATAGATTTGCGCATTTTATTTTATTTTGCTTGTGACTTACTTTGTTCTGTCTGTTACTACTTGGAACCACTTAAATCCTACTGTCTGTATTTAATAAAATCACTTTTTATTTAGTAATTTACTCAGAGTATGTATTAATACCTGGGGGAGCAAACAGCTGTGCATATCTCTCTATCTGTGTTATAGAGGGCGAACAATTTATGAGTTTGCCCTGCATAAGCTTTATGCAGGGTAAAACGGATTTATCTGGGTTTAGACCCCATTGGGAGTTGGGCATCTAAGTGCTAAAGACAAGCACACTCCTGTGAGCTGTTTTTGGGTAAACTTGCAGTTTTGGGACAAGTGATTCAGACCCTTGGTCTGTGTTGGAGTCAGACAGGAGTGTCTGACTCAGCAAGACAGGGTGCTGGAGTCCTGAGCTGGCAGGGAAAACAGAAGCAGGGGTAGTCTTGGCACATCGGGTGGCAGCTCCCAAGGGGGTTTCTGTGATCCAACTATTTCAAATATGGACACAGGGGAACCATCTCCTTTGACTACATAGTCTAAAAAATAACTTTATAATTCCAGCTTATTCAAATAGAATATTTTGTTCACCTCTAAAAAGAACTATAAATTAAATATATTTTAAAAAAGACAGAAAACAGAGGTCTGTTCTAAAATAGTCAGCTTTCTCTGGTCTTCAAAACTTTCACACCATCGCACACTAAAATAGTTTTGTCTGCACTAACGATGTGCTACATTAATTAAGTATCGGAGGTAGCCGTGTTAGTCTGTATCTACAAAAACAACAAGGAGTCTGGTGGCACCTTAAAGACTAACAGATTTATTTGGGCATAACCTTTCTGATGGTGTCGCCAGAGTAGATATGGGGACAGAGTAGGCAACGAGGTTTGCTACAGGGATTGGTTCCTGGGTTGGTGTTTCTGTGGTGTGGTGTGTAGTTGCTGGTGAGTATTTGCTTCAGGTTGGGGGGTTGTCTGTAAGCGAGGACTGGCCTGCCTCCCAAGGTCTGAGAGAGTGAGGGATCATTTTCCAGAATAGGTTGTAGATCGTGCATAATGCACTGGAGAGGTTTTAGCTGGGGGCTGTATGTGATGGCCAGTGGTGACAGTCCGTCCACAAAAGAATAAATGGACACAAATCGGACATCAGGAATGGTAACATACAAAAGCCAGTAAGTGAACACTTCAATCTCCCTTCAATCTCTTCAACAATTGTACATGGCTTCATGTAATTCTCATTTTTCGGTTTAAGTTGTATATCAGGGGTAGGCAACCTATGGCACGTGTGCCGAAGGCAGCACGCGAGCTGATTTTCAGGGGCACTCACACTGCCCAGGTCCTGGTCACAGGTCCGGGGGGCTCTGCATTTTAATTTAATTTTAAATGAAGCTTCTTAAACATTTTAAAAGCCTTATTTACTTTACATACAACAATAGTTTCGTTATATATTATAGACTTATAGAATGAGACCTTCTAAAAACGTTAAAATGTATTACTGGCACGCGAAACCTTAAATCAGAGTGAATAAATGAAGACTCAGCTCATCACTTCTGAAAGGTTGCCGACCCCTTTTGTATATAAACCCCTATGTTATGGTAATAAGCATTGTAAAAAAAAATCTTTAAATAACAGATTATTCTTCACTATTTACTAATATTCAAAATCTCCTCCATATCTGAAATATAAAATGGAAATGGTTAGATATTATTTATTTTTTCAAAAGAAGAATTTGACAACCTAGGGTCACAATTAAGATTTAATTGAGAAGTGAGATGACCAATCAACTAATGATTTCAGTTAATATTCTCATTCCATTGGCCAGTACTGTTGATTCTAGAGAGATCTTACACATCTACCAGAAAGCTCCCAGGAATACCACAGGAAAGTGCATGTTCTGAGGAGGGGTCCAATCACTTACTTACTGGAATGGTAACTACATGCCATTAATCTAATACTAAAATATGGAAAAAAGTTGCAATAGGATTTCTTTAATTTAGAAAATTAATCTCTTATTTGGCTTATCTTAAAACAAGAGACAAGACTGTACTCACAGTGTAGGGTGTGGACACCTTTGAAGCCGGATTCTCATTAGGAGGTGAAAGAAGATTAAACGCGAGTCGTGTCTGTTGCTGTCCACATCCAGCAGCAGATGTCAAGAGAATGCCAGGACTGTGAGGATTTTCAAAGTAACTGGGAAAAACTCTTTGTCTGATAAAAGCGATCTCCCAGGCAAATTCAGATCTAAATTTAAAAATAAATGGTTTACATATATTATATGCAACACTGTTCATAAAATGATAAAGCAGCCTTGGAAAATTCTACTTGTCCAAGCCCCATTGGGGTGAGAATTTTTTTGACACTTGTTTTTATTTCATTCCTCATCATCAGTTATGAAGGTGAAGGACAGGTGAGTAGCATTTGTGACTGAGCTCGTAAATTTTCCTAACAATTTTGCATCACTTAGATTGGGAACATATTTGAGCTTTTTTATAGTAATATGAGTATTTAATATTTCAGAGGCATGAACTTGTCTTCTTACTTCAACCACGTTTCACAAAATATTTCAAACTACTCAAAAGAAAACTTGTAGAAGATTTCACTTTGGGGGTTTAGCTGTTGTAGTACAATAATTACCTCAGCTTTGTTCTGTTGATTATACTTTTTGCTTCTTCATAGGAGACTCCAATCATTGACTCCTTGTTTATGGATACAAGCTGGTCTCCAGGCTTCAGTCGTCCATCCTAAACAGTAACAATAAAGAATCCAAGTGTGGCATTCTGTATTGATTGTTGATGAAGATGCAACTGAAACAATTTTCTAATTGCAACAGTTTAACATGTACTTTTGAACCTATGAATTTAAGAAACAGTCAAGCCTGTCCAGACTTTCTGCCTGGACCAATATGTTTAATCTGTAAATTAGTAGTTTCCATTGGTAATATACATCTTTTGTGCTGCTGCTTAGTAGAATAACTATGCAATGAAAGAACGTGTTGTATGTGCTAGATTTCAAAAGACACAAAGAAACAATCAATACTATATTCAACAATTTGGTTCTATAAATCAGTATCAAACATTCAAAAATTGTTACCGTGCAGAAAAGCTATGGATGCACCAGACTCACTATTATAACTGCTTTGAGGGAAAAATATGCTGACCAATTTTTCCAACCACCCAACTATATACTATTCATTTTTAATAAACACTATATTATTAATTGCCTGACAACCACAGAATCATAGAAATGTAGGATTCAAAGTCATCTAGTCCAGTCCTGCCTCAGTGCAGGGAACTAAGTATTAACTAGACCATCCTTGACAGGTCTTTGTCTAACCTGTTCTTAAAAACCTCCAGTAACAGAGATTCCACAACCTCCCTTAGGCAATTTGTTCCTGTGCTTAACTACCCTTACAATTAGGAATTTTTCCTAATGTCTAATCTAAATCTCCCTTGCTGCAATTTCAGCCCATTATTTCTTGTCCTGTCCTACAGGAATCTCAAGCATAGCTCACCTGGTCTAGCTGTTCCATTTTTATATAATTTTTTTTTCAGTTGTGAGAGGAGCCGACCATCCCATTCTGTCCAATTTGTTTGCCTGTGCCGCAGGCTGTTTGTTTTTAGATTCAGACTTTTTGCTTTGCTACCATGTAAGTAAGACAAAGGATAACATAGCGACTATATGTCTGATTTCCATGATGGCTTGAGTAAGCATGAGAACCTCAGTCAGTCAGTTGTTTAGCCTTTCACTTATCATTGAAATGAATAATAAAATGGCTATGCACTCTGACTACACAATACTTTTCAATTGGTTGGTTAGCACTTCTTCACAATATACTAGAATTTGCCTTTAACCAATTTATGGCCCTAATCCTGACATTTTTCTCACTGTGGTTAGACCCCTTGTGTTGACACAGAATCCCTCCGGAATCAACATGGCTCCCATGCAGGCAAACTGCTCTGAATGAATGGAACAAGTTGCAGGATTAGAATCCCAACATGGCAGGTGCTATATGCTGCTGACATAGATTATATCAAAGTTCAGTGACTTGAACATTCACAACGACGTTCTCAAATATGGAATGAACACGTGTCTGTCTACGACAGGTGTTAAAGGAATTTAACGTTTGTAAAACACAAATTATGGAAATATTGCTGACAAAGAATCCATCTCTGAATTGAAATTCATCAGCTGAAATCGTTCCGCTTCTACAGCCATGTGAGTCAGTATAAAAGCTCTGACAAGATAAGATAGATAAGATGTCCGTGGCATTACAACAGGAATGAATTTGCTATAAAAATTAACCACAGACAACAGTTTTTCCAGCCTGGAATAACAACCTGACTATGGGAAGTTTCTCTACCAGTTAAATCACCTCTGAGCTCGATTAATTTGTATTCAAAGAAGCCACCCTTCAGAGCTATTCCAAGGACTTTTCAGGCACTCCTGAATCAGACTGATCTGAACAAGGGAGGAGAGACTAAGGGCTTGTCTATACTGGCACTTTACAGTGTTGCGACTTTTTTGCTCGGGGTGTAAAAAAACACCCCCCTGAGCGCAGCAAGTTTCAGCGCTGTAAAACGGCAGTGTAGACAGTGCACCAGCACTGGGAGCTACGCCTCTCATGGAGGTCGGTTTTTATAGCGCTAGGAGAGCTCTCTCCCAGCACTCTGCCGCGACTACACAAGCCACGTTAAAGCGCTGCTGCGGCTTTAACATGGCCAGTGTAGAGTAGCCCTAACTTCATCGATGGAGGCAGAAGAGAACTGTAGGAATAAGAACAACAACATTATCTGTTTTTTTGCAGTGCTGTAGCCATGTTAGTCCCAAGATATTAGAGAAACAAGGTGGGTGAGATAATATCACTTCTGTTGGTGAGAGAGACAAGCTTTTGAGCTGCACAGATCAGGTCTGGAAGAGGGACTCAGTGTCACAGCTAAATACAAGGTGGAACAGATTGTTTAGCATAAGTAGTTAACACATATTCTAAGGGACCTTTTAAACTGAAGTGGCTCATTAGGAAAAACTTTTTCACTAGGAGGATGGTGAAGCACTGGAATGGGTTACCTAGGGAGGTGGTGGAATCTCCTTCCTTAGAGGTTTTTAAGGTCAGGCTTGACAAAGCCCTGGCTGGGATGATTTAGTTGGGAATTGGTCCTGCTTTGAGCAGGGGGTTGGACTAGATGACCTCCTGAGGTCCCTTCCAACCCTGATATTCTATGATTAACATGTCTGGAGTCATAGGACAAAAAAGGAGGGTTATTGGGTGATAGGCTCATCTTTTGAAGGTAAAGATTGCATCATGGAACAGGCCACCCAAATACCCCAAGAGAACCTGTTTCAATACGGGGGGGAGGGGGAGGGAGAGGGAGGAAATGGAAAAAAACCCTCTCCAACCACACAACCCTAGTCGTCACGTACTACCTCACACTGAAACCCATACAGGGTATCATTTAGCAATTCCAGCCCTTACTCGATGGGGGACTATACTCTGCAAGAAATCTTTCCCAACCCCCTCTTTTGGCCTTCAAACACCCCCCTCCCCCACAACCTCATCATCAGAAGCAAGCTCCTCACAGACCAGGCCACATCAAAAAAAAGCAGCACCAGACTCTGCCTGAATAACAGATGCAAAACCTGTAGATGTATCTCCACTGCTACAATGATCAATACCTCCCACAACACGCTTTTCAAGATCCATGGGTCCTATGCCTATCACAACATGGAGTGTACTTCAGCCAGTGCACTATATGCCCCAACAAAAACTATGTGGGTGAAACCAGACAATCACTATGCTCTTGGAGAACTCTCACAGAAAAATGATAAAAGACAAAAACACCATATCACCTATGGTGAACACTTTTTACAAAGCGATCACTCTGACCTCTCTGTCCTCATGCTCAAAGGAAACCTGCACAACACCTTCAAAAGACAAGCCTAGGTGCTTAAATTTATAACTTTACTAGATGCTAAAAATCATGGTCTTAATAAAAACATTGGGTTTATGGCTTATTACAACAATCTCTAACCCTTTCCCCCCCCTATTACTGAAGAGGTTTTAATGGGCCTCTTCAGCTTGAGTTATCCCTTCGAATATACACCTCTACCCTGATATAACACGAATTTGGATATAACGCGGTAAAGCAGCACTGTAGGGGGGTGGAGCTGCGCACTCCGGCGGATCAAAGCAAGTTCGATATTACGCGGTTTCACCTATAACGCAGTAAGATTTTTTGGCTCCCGAGGACAGCGTTATATCGGGGTAGAGGTGTATGTTAACTAGTTATGTTAAACAATCTCTTCCACCTTGTATTTAGCTGTGATACTGAGGGCAGGTCTACAAATTTAAATCGGCACAGATGCACCTATGCAGCTGTAGCGGGTCTGGTGAAGACGCTCTTAGTCGATGGGAGAGAGCTTTCCTGTTGACATAACTCCACCTCCGCAATGGGAGAAGCAGATTGATCTGCAACTTTCTGCAATCATAGAGGCATACCACATTTCTGTTACAGATAGTCATAAGACAACACTTTAAAAAAGGGGGCCTGAATTCTCATTTACACTGAAGTCCTTTTACTCTCTTCTGGCAGTGTAAATGGGCCTTAGAGTGGGCATAAATCACAGTATAGTTGAGAATTCACTTGAGAATTATTAATCATTCTGTATATTGTCATACTTTTTTCTAGCTTATGCTTATAGATTGTAAAATTACTATATTTCACTAATATATGGCAAAAAAATATACACATTCAAGATGCACCTGTGTTTCTGAACCTATACGTAATTAATTGCATGGAAAATTTGGAAGATCTGAAATACAAAATTCTACCTTCATTCAATTTTTTAATATTTCATAAAAAATCCCCAGAAAAAATAAAATGTTGAAATTAGTAAACCTACATATGCTGGCCTGAGAAGGAACAAATATATAAAATTTTATAACATACATATACTTATATTTTAGCTGCTTGAACACTATGATTTTATAACACATTATATTGTGTTGTTTAATATTTGTCTTTGACCACAAAGATAAACAGCTTGTTTTTTATTTGCCGCCAGTGTACAAAAATACCAACTGCAATGCTGCCCTCTGGTGGCTCACATGGCAAACATCACATTTTAAACTGAGAAATTTCAAGAAGATGAGGATTTAAATACAGCCTCAAATTTTGACTGTTTGAACTGTATTAGTGTTACAGTACAGTATGAAAATAAATGACCTAGTCTTGCTCCCACTGACCACAACAGTGAAGGAATGGGCACTAAATTACACGGGTTAAGACGGTAAAATGTTTTTGGTAGCTATAACAAAACAAGACTGAATAAAGAAGAATCACTGTTATCCATAAATAAGCAGTTTTAAGGTAGCATTCCAATTTGCTTCCTGATCTGCAGTCTGGCCTTAACCTGCCCTCCCTTTCTGTACCTACAAATCTGTGGTCACAAATAACCACAGGCAGAATTTTGAGGGCACAAATCATTGCAGGTGCAATTAATGTTGTTAAACATTCATGCCTTTGCTTTGCAGACACAATCAATATTTACATGTCAAAATGTCCCACTGTTGTATGCAGTGTTGTAGCTGTGTCAGTTCCAGAATAGAAAAGAGACAAGGTAGGTGAAATAATATCTTTTATTGAATCAGCTTCTGTTGCTGAGAGAGACAAGCTTTTGAGCTTACACAGAGCTCTTCTTGTAGTCTGCGAAACTTTATCAATCCTCATTCTGAAAGGAAACCTACACAACACTTTCAAAAGACGAGCCAGGGGCTTAAATTCATAACTTTGCTAGACGCTAAAAATCATGGACTGAGCAGAGACACTGGATTTATGACTTATTACAACAATCTATAAGCCACTAAAAACCATCCCCGCCCAACTGCTTCCCCCCTGCCCCTTTCTGTTCCTCCTTATGACTGGAGGGATGTTCACCTGGAATGGTCCCTTGAAATATGTGTTCACTACTTATGCTAAACAATCTATTCCACTTGGTATTTAGCTGTTATATTCTGATTAAGGTCATGTCTACACTACAAAATTAATGACAGGTTTCAGAGTAGCAGCCGTGTTAGTCTGTATCCGCAAAAAGAACAGGAGTACTTGTGGCACCTTAGAGACTAACAAATTTATTTGAGCATAAGCTTTCGTGGGCTACAGCCCACTTCATCAGTAGCCCACGAAAGCTTATGCTCAAATAAATTTGTCAGTCTCTAAGGTGCCACAAGTACTCCTACTACAAAATTAAGTCGACCTAACTTACATCGGCATACAGCCACCGCAGTAATTACATTGCTTGGGTGTGTCTACACTTGGCTCCTTGTGTCGGTGGTGCACGTCCTTACCAGGAGTGCTTGTATCGACCATACTGTCAGTGTGGGACAGCTCCTGAAAGCCAGAAACAATCGACGTAAGTAATGTAGTGTCTACACTGACACTGCGTTGACCTAAACACATCAGCCTCGACTCTACGCTGCTCGTGGAGGTGGAGTTAAGTTGGCCGATAGGATATTCCCTTTATTCTGGCCTGGCAATAGCTAATG